AAAAAAAAAAAAAAAAAAAAAAAAAAAAAAAAATATATATATATATATATATATATGTATGTATATATACACACTCAGGGCAAGAGTTTCTTACTTACAGTAAGTTGTCCCTTTGACAATCAGGCACAAGCACAGTGCATGGAATATTATACAGTAGAGTAAATGCATGTCATGCGTAATGAACCAGAATTTACAGTTTGCATGTTCATTGCTGAGATTTTACACTGATATACATGAAACCGTGCACAGATGACACCAGTACATCTGCTGACCTTATGATATCAAACACAGAGCGCTGTGTGTTTGTATCTCGTGGTGTTTGTGAGCGTGATGTGTGTGTGTTACATCTGTTAAACGCTCTTTAACCCCTGTAATCACACTCAGACTGTAATAATAGCACATGACGCGGTTCATTGTCCCTCTTGATTTGCTGTAACAAGGTTTAACGAGGCTTAAGCAGATGGAACGGGACTGAAGGACAGTGGTGGGGTTTGATTCATGACTTCTCTCAAGCTCAACACTCGTGTGTCTGTGTTTCCTACATCTCTTTCAGATCCGATTCTCTCCTAGAGTGCTGAACACAAATTATATTTCAAATCTGAGTTCTGATGTTTTATATGAAATATAAAAACTGTTCTCATTCTGGGGTTGTTTTTAAAATAGTTTTTAAAATTCAAATAATTTAAATTAGAATTTAGTTTTGGTGTTAATTATTTAAAAATTGGTAATCGGTTAAGATTGCAAAAGCTCATATAATACCCAGTTTGACCTTTAGGGGTCACCATTTCAGGCTCTGTTTTGTACTCTATTCTCAGTTTAAACTGCATCAGTGTGGAAATGAGTGTTTGCTGACCCTGAACTGAGTTTGTTGGATGTCTTTGTGTTACTGTCATCAGATGTGATGTTCTCACTGATGTAGTCTCTTAGAGTCGCTGACAAACAAGCTTCTCAACTGATGGCTCATGACATTGTTACAGAAACACCAATGCCCAAGTGAGTAAAAAAAAAAAAAAAAAAGGGGGGGGGGGTTGTACAAAACAGATTTTTTTTTCCATGAGATTGTTTAAAAATGTTTTTAATTTGCAAATTTAATAATTTAATATTTTGCTAATTAAAGCATTAAACTGAGTAAAAATGAATAATGAAAAACTAAAAACCAAATAGAAATCTGCTTCCTGTACTGGTTAAAACTAACCAGTTAAAGTTAAAATGGAAAAACTAAATAGCAAACTTTATGCTGTGTAAAAATGGACAATGAAAAAAAGTGTGTGAGAGAGAGAGAAACTGACTAGGAAACATTTTCATAAGATTATTTTAAAATGTTTTTATTTGCACATTTAATAATTTGCAAATCACAGCGTGAAGATGAAGTGAAGGTTAGCACTAAATTAAATGTTTACAGTTAATTATCTATGCTGATAAAGTGAGACTGAGAATATAAAAGAGAAGCACAAAAGGAAACAGTGATGATGCTGTTGATTCTTGAGTGATTTTTCTGTGACCCACAACATGTGATGGAAACTTGGATTGAGCCAATAAGCTTTAATCTGAATGTTCAAAAGAACGCTCGATTCTTTCCTCCATCAGATCAGCAGCTCTTATAACAACCGCATACACAAGCATGATGAGCTAACATGATCTCTCTCTCTGTGTTTTCTGTCAGGAGCAAGAGCTGTCTCAGCCGGAGCTGGACGGTGAGTATCACAACTCAGATCATCACATCACATCACATCTCAGATCATCACATATAAGATCATCACACCTCAGATCATCACATCTCATCCCATCCCATCCAGATCATCACATCACATATCAGATCATCACATCACATCATAGATAATCACATCACATCACATCACTGATCATCACATCACATATCAGATCATCACATCACATATCAGATCATCACATCACATCATAGATCATCACATCACATATCAGATAATCACATCACACCACACCTCAGATCATCACATCACATATAATCACATCTCAGATCATCCCATCACATCACATATCAGATAATCTAATCACATCTCATATCAGAGCATCACATCATAGATCATGACATCACAGATCATCACATCACATATCAGATAATCACATCACACCTCAGATCATCACATCTCATCCCATCCAGATCATCACATCACATATCAGATCATCACATCACATCATAGATCATCACATCACATATCAGATAATCACATCACATATCAGATAATGACATAACATCACATATCAGATCATCAAATCACATCTCATCTCAGATCATCACATCCCATCCCATCTCATCACATATCAGATCATCACACCTCAGATCACCACATCTCATCCCATCCAGATCATCACATCACATATCAGATCATCACATCACATATCAGATCATCACATCACATATCAGATAATCACATCACATATCATCACATCACACCACACCTCAGATCATCACATCACATATCAGATCATCACATCTCATCCCATCCAGATCATCACATCACACCTCAGATCATCACATCTCATATAATCACATCACATCTCAGATCATCACATGACATCCCATCACATATCAGATCATCACACCTCAGATCATCACATCTCATCCCATCCCATCCAGATCATCACATCACATTACATATCAGATCATCACATCACATCACAGATCATCACACCACATATCAGATAATCTCATCCCATCCAGATAATCACATCTCATCCATCCAGATCATCACATCACATATCAGATCATCATATCATAGATAATCACATCGCATATCAGATAATCACATCACATATCAGATCATCACATCACATCACACCACACCTCAGATCATCACATCACAGATAATCACATCTCAGATCATCCCATCACATCACATATCAGATCATCTCATCATAGATCATCACATCACATATCAGATAATCACATCTCATCCCATCCAGATCATCACACCACACCTCAGATCATCACATCACAGATAATCAAATCTCAGATCATCCCATCCCATCACATATCAGATCATCTCATCATAGATCATCACATCACATATTAGATAATCACATCACACCTCGGATCATCACATCACATATCAGATCATCACACCTCAGAGCATCACATCACACCACACCTCAGATCATCACACCTCAGATCATCACATCACAGACAGGGCTGGATTGGGACAAAAAATCGTCCCAGGCATTTTTTGGTCCAGGCGGCCCACCACCACTTATATATATAAGAATAAAACGTCAGGTCCGACAATATCGTGTCTTTTTTTATTTAAATCTAGATTTATTCGCATTGGTTCATGGAAACCTCTATGAACACACTTGACTTGACTTAGCTTAAAAATTGCGGGGGATGAATTTGTTTTATTAAAAAGTGTTTACACATTCTACACTCATGGCACGCAGCCGCGCACACACATTAGGATAGGTTAGATGCCTGCCTCCGCTGCGAGTCCCTATCAAGCACTTTACCGATTGAACTACTCTCCTCTCCTCTTCTCCTCCTGTCTGGCTCTTTGGCCCGCATCACTCACCGCAGCGCAAGCCTGTTCTTGATAAAGCTGCTGTGAAAACGTGGGAGAAGCCGACGAGGAAGAAGTTGGAGTGAAGCGATCTTTATATAGGCGGAGCAAAATACTTCATTGCTCCGTCTATAGCGCATTGTGATTGGATGTTTACGCTGTCAATACAGGAGACAAACCAATGGGCCACTGGCTGCTCGTGATCGTGTCTCCGTTCTCCTGCTGTTTCTGTGTGTTCAGTCAAGGGTCTGATGGATTTAGATGATTTCTGTGAGTTGATGGGCCCCGGGATGATGATGGAGACGGCGCATATGCTGGGCCTCAATCCCAGTGCCACGGAAAGAGTCTGGAGGAATAAATCCTGCAGGATTACTGTGTCATGCTGACGTCCAGCAGAACATGATGAACACAAGCAGCAGCAGGGCCCCGGATCCGTGACTGACCCCTACAGGCCAAGAGCATTACTACAGCTCAACTCAACCACAGTCCAGTTTGAAGCCCCTCATTAACCAAACACGCTCCACGGTACTGGTGTTTCAGGAGCTGTTCAGCAACCTTTCAAACCGGCCAGAAACCACGGATCATCATAGTTATCTAGTTCAGAGAGTTATGTGCAAGTCTGAATAGTATGGAAGCACATTTCTGGCACATAAAGAAAATCATGCTTTAATAAGTCATAAAGCAACTGAGATGAAAAGTTAAAGAAAGAAAAAAGAATATACAATAATTTAGAATTTTTGTCTCATAATTATGACTCGTAATTTCAACTTTTTATCGTAATTATGACATTTAAAGTCATAATTGTGACATTTCCTCCACATAAACAAATTATTATTTATATATATATATATTATTTTTTACGTGGTGGAAATGTGCTTACATACTATTATTCTATGAAAACCTTTTGCCAGGTATGATTCACAATTTTAAAGTGCACCTTTTGCTGCGCAGATTGTTTTTTTTTTATTAAATTGTATTTATTTTGCTGCACAATGTATTTTTTATGTAAGTTTAAAATTAATTTGTTTAAAAATATATCTGCAAGTTTTAAATGAAACAAAGATTATTAACATTTTATTTAAAATATTTTAATGTAATTGTTCAGTGAGGCATTAATAATAAACAGAGTTTGTGCGCCCTCTGCTGGTGAATTCTGACCATCTGAATAAACTACATTTTTTAGTGTAGTTTTTATTAACAGCTTGTGCATTATTCTTCAGAAGTGTCACACACACACGAGCTGTCCACGAATAGCTTCAGTCCTCTTGCAGGGATGTGTATTTAGTGTTGTGTTAGCGTGAGTTCTGGCGGTTTGTTGTGTTCGTGTGTTGTGACGTGATCGCGTCATCCGGGTATTTCCGCTCTCAGTGCGGGAGGCGCGCGGAAGGAAAGCGTCGTCGCAGGGTGTCGCGGGTTCTTCGCTACGCCGGAAACGACAGAGAGCAACCCGAGCTGCAGTGACGCGCGACATGGACGGTAAGTCGAGCGTTATAATGGCGCGTTTCTTCGTCTGAGCGGCGCGAGCGGCTTGTTTCGGTGTCCGCGCGGAAGGGAAAGCCCCGCGCCTGAAGTTTTGCTCTCGGTTTTGGCGAAAGAACCGGGCGTCCGCTGCGCCTTCGGTCGATCAGGACGGTGTCCACCGAACGACGGGAATCAGACGCGCGAATGATCGCGACGCGTCAACGCGTGTCCACACGACTTTAGTTCTGACGCGCGTTGCCGCATTGGTGTGTTTGTGTGTGTGTGTGTGTGTGTCTGTATGTGTGTCTGTAAGTGTGTGTGTGTGTGTGTCTGTAAGTGTGTGTTACTTATTTTAATCTTATTTTATCTCGTTTATTTGACCCCCCCCATAGATTAAAATAAGTAAAGAGGAGGCTAAAGACAGCAGAGATCAGAGTGAGGTTTATCTCTGTTACATATGTATTTCTGTATATTAATTTATTATATATTTGAATATATTTTTGTATTATTATGTGTGCTTTTTATTTACTTATTTTAATCTATTAATTTAATCTTATTTATTTTGGAACTTTTTAGACAGTTTTTCTCTACGGTTTTCTGTGGAGCCCGGTCTGAAACTGGTTCAGGATCACTTGCTCAGTAACGTACAGTACATGAGCGTGAGTGTGTGCGCACAGGTTTAGATATGTTTGTATCAGATGTGATTATGATAATGATTTCACTTTCTCTTTCGGCTGAAGTCATCAGTCATGCGCATCTTCAGCTTTCATTATCCACTTGATTCTGGCGTCTCTGCTATGATGTGACATGAGGTGATGTTGGGCAGAATGTGTTCAGCGCACGGGTCCGAGGTGTTCAGCGCACGGGTCCGAGGTGTTCAGCGGACGGGTCCGAGGTGTTCAGCGGACGGGTCCGAGGTGTTCAGCGGACGGGTCCGAGGTGTTCAGCGGACGGGTCCGAGGTGTTCAGCGGACGGGTCCGAGGTGTTCAGCGGACGGGTCCGAGGTGTTCAGCGGACGGGTCCGAGGTGTTCAGCGGACGGGTCCGAGGTGTTCAGCGGACGGGTCCGAGGTGTTCAGCGGACGGGTCCGAGGTGTTCAGCGGACGGGTCCGAGGTGTTCAGCGGACGGGTCCGAGGTGTTCAGCGGACGGGTCCGAGGTGTTCAGCGGACGGGTCCGAGGTGTTCAGCGGACGGGTCCGAGGTGTTCAGCGGACGGGTCCGAGGTGTTCAGCGGACGGGTCCGAGGTGTTCAGCGGACGGGTCCGAGGTGTTCAGCGGACGGGTCCGAGGTGTTCAGCGGACGGGTCCGAGGTGTTCAGCGGACGGGTCCGAGGTGTTCAGCGGACGGGTCCGAGGTGTTCAGCGGACGGGTCCGAGGTGTTCAGCGGACGGGTCCGAGGTGTTCAGCGGACGGGTCCGAGGTGTTCAGCGGACGGGTCCGAGGTGTTCAGCGGACGGGTCCGAGGTGTTCAGCGGACGGGTCCGAGGTGTTCAGCGGACGGGTCCGAGGTGTTCAGCGGACGGGTCCGAGGTGTTCAGCGGACGGGTCCGAGGTGTTCAGCGGACGGGTCCGAGGTGTTCAGCGGACGGGTCCGAGGTGTTCAGCGGACGGGTCCGAGGTGTTCAGCGGACGGGTCCGAGGTGTTCAGCGGACGGGTCCGAGGTGTTCAGCGGACGGGTCCGAGGTGTTCAGCGGACGGGTCCGAGGTGTTCAGCGGACGGGTCCGAGGTGTTCAGCGGACGGGTCCGAGGTGTTCAGCGGACGGGTCCGAGGTGTTCAGCGGACGGGTCCGAGGTGTTCAGCGGACGGGTCCGAGGTGTTCAGCGGACGGGTCCGAGGTGTTCAGCGGACGGGTCCGAGGTGTTCAGCGGACGGGTCCGAGGTGTTCAGCGGACGGGTCCGAGGTGTTCAGCGGACGGGTCCGAGGTGTTCAGCGGACGGGTCCGAGGTGTTCAGCGGACGGGTCCGAGGTGTTCAGCGGACGGGTCCGAGGTGTTCAGCGGACGGGTCCGAGGTGTTCAGCGGACGGGTCCGAGGTGTTCAGCGGACGGGTCCGAGGTGTTCAGCGCACGGGTCCGAGGTGTTCAGCGGACGGGTCCGAGGTGTTCAGCGGGCGGGTCCAGCGGACGGGGCGGACGGGTCCGAGGTGTTCAGCGGACGGGTCCGAGGTGTTCAGCGGACGGGTCCGAGGGACGGGTCCGACGGGTCCGAGGTGTTCAGCGCACGGGTCCGAGGTGTTCAGCGGACGGGTCCGAGGTGTTCAGCGGACGGGTCCGAGGTGTTCAGCGGATGGG